ATTTTAGGATAACATAACATAAATAAAAGCATAATTTATAGAGAAGTTGCAATAAACTGACAAACGAAAATTTTAAAGACACGTTTAAAGACAAGGAAAGAAGATGAAAATATCAGAGCACTAAATATGATCAGAAGTAAAGAGAAGCATTGGAAGAACGTAGCAGGTAATTTAAGAAATCCTCACGAGAAGCATTGCGAAACGTAGCAGGTAATTTAGGAAATCCTCACGAATAAGAAGCAGAATAAATTAGATGATAAGCACCTAAATTCTCTCCAAGAAACTGCAGATTCCAAGTTTATAGTTGTACATAAAAATGTAAATGCACAAGATGTAATTTTCTAGAGGTATATAGGACGCAAAAAACAACAACAAAAACTAATAGACAGAGTAGACCAGAAGGAAGTACATGGTAAGTTTGACAATCATGATTCCTTGAGTTCTGTCACCTAGTGGCCATAAAATTAAGTTAAGAACTTCTACTGTTACCACATTATGTTACCTGGAGCATTGAAAGCATTGAAATTGTGAAAATAGGTGTTTTATCGTTAAACCTTGACAATTGCCCAAGCAACATCAACAAAATTTGTTCACCTAGCTCCCCCTTCATCTGACCCTCCTTTAGGTAATAACTTTGTGTTAAGTATTAGAATTTCAAATCGTCGGATGCCGAGTTAACTGATAATTTAAATTTAGTAACTAAATTGTACTTTGGATTTAGTATTTAAATATATGCCGATATACAATCAGTTTACGATGTTTGCCAACAAGACTGATACACGCTGTTTTCGTTTTTAACACAAATACGTTTAAAATACACACAACAACACAATTTACAATAACATTTATTACAAACAAAGATTTATAAATAAAAGTTTCACAAACTTACAAACAATATAAAATATTCTTTCTAGTTTGCAACTCCCTTGATATCTTATCGAGGGTTTACGATGAGCGAGTTATTTCAAGTCGATGTAGATACGATTCGACGGAAGCTAGCTAGCTTTGTCCTTTGCCACACACATTGAATTGTTGTTCCGTTGAAGTTAGGTAATGTTTTCATAAAAATACTTATGTCCGATGTGAATCCACTGAAGTTAAACAATTTGTAATGTTCGAAATTTATAAATATTCCCGGT